GGAGAGGCTGGTGGTTTTGAACTGCCAAACTTGTGGCTAGTAGCCCAATTGGTAACCACCGCACCACTAGGGCTCCTTCACACACACACACACCCTTTTAAATGTAGCTAAATATTGGCCCAACATTCTGATATATCCTGCGAACACAGATTGAGATTGAGGGCATCCTTTCCCAGTACCTGGAATCCTCTGCCTAGGGATGGTGTGGAGTGGAGTGGAGCCTGACAAAGTTATTGGGAGATTAGGATGTGCTTATTTTGAATGCATTCTAATTTTATGAGGACGGTGCAGGACTGGGTGGTGGGCTGGAACTGACTCAAAGAAGCCACCATCAACAACAACAATTCTAATTTTGTGTTTTAAAATTTTCTATACATATAAGGCATGGAGGTCACTGTCTGGCACTAAGTAGGTACTTGATCAAGTTTAATGATTGTGGTTTTCATTATCATCATATGGTGACATGACTCCGTCACCCTCCTACAGGTTCAGCTTCAGCTCCACACAGTCAGGCAAGTGAGACCAGAAGCCTTAGGCTCTGACTGTCCCTCCCCCGCCCCTCCACCCCCGATGCTGCCCTAGGCGCTGGGCATTCACACAGTGGACAGGAAGGCTGAGCCATGTGCCATAGATGAGCAGACAACGTCCTTTGGGCGCATGTCCTCTGAGGCCATTAGGAGGAGATGCCAGGAGAGTACCTGCAAGAGGAGGGTCATGGGCAACTTCCAGTGAGCTGAGCAGGTGACGTTCAAGCTTAGATAGAACCTCAAGATCAGGTGCTCAAGCAGCAGACCAAGGATTAATGGCAGTGAGTGGGTGAGGGTGGGTGACAGGCCATCATGTTGGGAGAACAAATTGAGGCAGGCTGTGCTGGGGATTCGGCATTGTCTCTGAGTGGCCAGGAAAAGCGCGGGAAGTTTGGCAGGATGGTGTGTTGTGATCCCCACTGTAAAGACAACACTGGCTGGAGGATGCCCGGGAGGCACTGGGGAGCCTGTGTGGGAGGCTTGCGGTCCAGGGGAGAGGGAATGGCGGTTTGTAGAAGGTGAGGGCCCGGGGCGGGGAGGGAATTATTATCGAATATCAATCTCTCCATTGTTCTCTGATCCAAATTGCTTCAGGATTTTGAATAACAAGAGCAAACAGGCCTTTCTCAAGTTTTCAGAGCAGCTATTTAAGGAACTGTCTGGAGACCCCTGACTGGTGCCCGCCCACATGTCCTGGGTACAAAGGGTTACTCTGCTCACTTCCTCGGACCCATTCTGCGTGCTGCTTTGTTGAGTGGACTCCTGCTTCAGGATTTGCAAACCAGTTGAATGTCCCTCTCTCCCTCGCTTCCATCTTCTCTCTCTCTCTCTCTCTCCCACTCCCCCCTACCCCCACTTCCATGTGCTTGTTGTGTTTTGTCCTGTCTATCTGCCATTGATGGGTTTGTCGGGATGACATGCATTTCTTTGTTTTCTCCCGCATGGATCATGAAAGGAACATTGCTTTAACTTGGCCTCGCAGAAAATGGCGCAGAGTAATACTCCTGAGAGTGTGAGGCTAGAGTTCTCTGTTATACACAAGTTTTTGTAACTGCTGATACATTTTGTGAGTCGCAAGGGCTGGGTGTAGGTAATTAACCTCCTGGAGAGTCTTTAATTGCCAAGATAACCTTACGCTCCTATTAAACTCATATTAACCTTTTGGCTCTATTTCATATCTCTCCACCCCAATAAAATAAAATCGACTCTTCTTGAAAGGACCCAGTTAGACTCTGGCCTGGCAGGTGCATTTCTGAGTCAGTAACCAGGAGGGCATTGGTAATTTGTTTGTAGTTTGCTATCCCCAGAAGAGAAGGCATTGAATTGTATACAGCTATTTAGACTGTAGATTTAAGATATTAATTTGACCCAGATGGGCTGTGAGGGGTTTTGAGTCTACAGAACATCTTGCTTACCAGTGGTCAAGCATGCAGCTGCGAACCTCTGTGGGCTTCACAGTCAAAAGATGTGGCAGTTGCAGCGGTACAGATTTCAGCCTTGGCAACACTGAGAGGCAGCTCTGCTCTGTCCTATAAGGTCATTACGGGTCAGAATTGTGTGTGTCATAACTCCTAGGTGTGGGTAATTAACCACCTAAACCCACGAGATTTTTGGAATATTTGCCTTAAATCTTTGACTATAAAAGAAAGGTTGTCATCACGAGAATTCAAAAGACTTGTTGAAGGAGCAAGAGAAGAAAAGAACCCTCCAGGTGGGTTCTCTGGTAAATTGCACATCGGAAGCGTGTTATGTGTGCGTATTGACCCGTTTTTCCCTCCCTACCATCAAATGCAAAAAGCCCACATGCTTAGCTCACTTGGAGCTGTACACATCCCTTGACAGCCAGGGATGACTCCTTGGGAAGGAGTAGGCTAATTCTAGCAAGTGGATGCAGACAGTGAATAGTGAACAAACTTTCTCTTGGCAGCTCTTTTAGCCCTGATTGCCTCTTTATCGTGGAAGGTAGTTACGAAAGAAGCGAATCAGTTCACCAGTTCTTTATGCTGTGATCATTTGTATCAATTGCTCTCTGATTTATTAGACAGAAGTCTCTTTGGGGCATGAACCTGAATTGATCAAGATAGTGGGGAAAGCACTGGTGTTCGATCCAGGCGGGCCTGAGACTGTATTTGGGTGCCGGCTGTGTCACTTTCTAGTCCTTTTTCCGGGCATCTGTAAAATGGGCATGAGGATGTCTGCCACGTGTTGGCATCACCAGTGAACGGACTGGCTGCAAAGTGCTTGGGACCCTGTCGATTAGGCAGTGTGTGTTCATGAACAGTGGAGGTGGTCGTCAGCGCAGACCGTGTTATCCGTCCGTCTGTGCATTCAGGGCATCTGGTTCAGCACCCGGGACGTGGGACACTCAAACCACACTGTGTGGACAAATGATCATGCTAACCAATACCAGGTGCTGTGAGCTTGGCTTCAACTTCTGGAGACACCAGGTGAGTCAAAGTGGAGCTGGACTCCCCAAGGTTTTTAATAACTATGATCTTTGGGAAGTGGATCACCAGGCCTATCTTCCAAGGTGCCTCTGGGTGGAATCGAACATCTAACCTTTCGGCTAGCCACTGATGGATTAAACCTTTACATCACCTTGTGATGCTCTGCCTACTCATGGATGCTGCTGTGCTTCAGAGCGACCCTGCTTTGTTTCATTATTGTTGTTTTTGAAATAGTTTTATTGGCATATAACT